TAGATAAAGCATCTGCAAGATAGGAATTTAATACAATAAGCAAGCATGTATATATATATATATATATATATATTTTTTATTATGCATTTTTAATTTTTAAAATAGTGGCGCTATGGCTTATAGCGACACGATGTCGCTATAGGCCATAACGCCACTTTTACAAATTCGTTTTTTTTATTTAAAAAATTTTATATTAAAAATGTAACGCTGTAGGCTATAACGACTTTATTGAAGCCGTTTTGTGTCGCTATAGGCTATAGCGACATTATAAATATGACTTTCATGACTTTCCTGAAATTCAAAAATTTTACGTGTCACGGGTGTCGCTATGGGTCATAGCGACACCGTTAAAAACTACCCCAAAGGTGTACATAGTTTAAAAACAGCTCCATTTACGTAAATAACTTTGGAAAGTGCCCCAAATTGGTCAATCAGCCCCTCCTTCAAGGTAGTCTCATGTAGTCATGTGGTGGGTGTCCCTCCTCCGTCGTGAAAGAAAACGAAAGTCTTTCGAGTTTAATAAACACTACAACATCATCATTTCAGGCATCATATGTCCATGACCATGATTTTCTTGTATTCAAATTAATTATTCACCAAATTTCATTTTAATTGGATTAGTTCACCAAAATAAAAAACGATTCATTTAATATGTTTGATTTTTTTAATTTTTAAATTAAAATGGACTCAAACTAGGTAGCAAAGAGTTAAAAGCAAATGATGTAAATAATTTTACCACAAATCAAATATTCTCCCCGCTTAAATTACGAGATAGGGAAAAATAGAGATTATTGAATGTTGAAACGGGCATCGTGGATGGGAGCGATGGTGGATGCAATGAAGATGCCTTCCCTACCACCAGCAAGGAGGTAGGCATTAAAGACTTCTATGAAAGGTCCTTAGTGTGTGAATGGATGCAAAGGATGACTCAAACATTGACACCATTGATAAAATTTCTTAAATTCGAATCTCCTTTGTATTTGAATCTCCTCAGTAAAATTAAAAGGTAAAATTAATATACTTATTAATTTGAGGATTGAATTAAAAAATAAAATAATTTTACTATTGAAATATAAAAGGATAAGTCACATCAAAATTAATGATATGACATGATTATATTAAAATCTTTCAAATTATGATGGGTCTCGTAGAAATTCTTTTTTTAATATTAGTTAAATAGCATTATTTTCTTCTATATTATCAAATATATAATTTTAGTCTCTTTGTTTTTAATTTTACAATTTAATCTCTTAATTTTATAAAATTTATAATTTTAATTCTCTCATCAAATGTTCATCTATTAGTCATTAAAATTATAATATTAGTCATGATCTGACATTAAGTAAATAACACAATTATTAATATTTAATAATATTTAAACTAAATTTTAATTTTAATTATTATTTTTATCTTTTTTTTTTTTAATTTTATGATGTAAAAATAAGAGATAAAAGTAAAATTTAGTATGAATATTATTAATTTTTGATTGCTACATGTTAATATCATGATTAATGTTACAATTTTAATGATTAATGATAAATATTTAATGAAAGGATTAAATTATAAATTTTATAAAAATTATAAAATTATAATTAGAAGAATCACAATTATAAAATTTATATCTTAGAAGAACAAAAGTACGATTTAGATTGTTTTATAATATCACAATGTTAATTAAAGAAGTGAAATTAATCTAAATAGATGTTTCTAAACAGATCTATACGTATGTATTCTACCTATTTTTCTTCTTCTTTATGTCTCTTCTAAATTAATCAAATCACATCACTCACTCAACTATTTCTGATGTAATAAATTACGCTTTGTTAATTAATTTCCACGTGTTGGCAATGGCAGCAACAATACGTATTACTTGTGATTTCATAGAAATCCACTCATAAAACATGATTATCCAATTTCAGAAACATTAGAGTAGCCATCTGATTCTTACTCACATTTCATATTGTGACATTGATTTTTCTTCTGTACGTGGTCGAAGCATTGAGCATGATGACAAACGAACACAGCCTTGTTTGACACTGCTTTTACTTTTGTGGCACTAGAGTTAGGTGCTGAGACAAATTCACACTACAGTGGAGGACCATGACCACGACATTGATAGTTACATCAAAGGTTGAAATTTGGTCGGAAAACGTGAACGATGTCACACGTTGGAATTCTATATCCATAATGCTAAATAAACTTCTATTATATTCTTAATCATCAGAACCACTCTGACTTTGTTTGACTCAAAAGCATTGTATTTAGTGCCTTCTCTATTTAGTTGAGTCTTATCATCACTAGATTGTATTCATGACATTTCAATCACGTAACTTCTCTACATTGTTGCCATTTCCTTTTCTTCCCTTTTAACTTTCTTTTTTTTCCTTTTAAACGTGGTCCTCATTTTGTTAAGTAAAATTGAAGTTTCTAATTTGATGGATTGACGTGGTAAGATAGCTTTAACTCACGTGAAAACGATTTATTTACAAACAAATTTCATATTCGATTTTGGTTATATAAAAACAAAAGAAAATCCTTTGAATTTGTTAGCGTCACATTAACGTAAGTTAGATAATTAGTCTCTTATTTAGAAAGCTAGAAAATATACATGGTAGACCAAAAAATAAATAAAATCATAAACCGACCAGTTTCTATCATTTTGAGCTTGAGAGGGACACTATAGCTGTTGAATGGAGACTTTTTTTGCAAAGCTTCATTTTACTCTTACACTTTATATAACATCAAACTATTGTTATTTTGTCGTTTTTATTATTTTAATTTAACTAATATGATTGCTTTTGTTATTCTAGTATCAATTATGAGAGCGGATTTCAGTTACAGTTAAAGACTGATTATTGGAATTTTAAATTATAGAGGCAAAGCACAGTTGATTATTAAGATTCATATTACTGCTTTCATAGCAGCATGCAAGAAGAGGTTTCTGGATGTAAGTAATTAATTAAGAGCAATGATGCTAACATAGATTGTGTTATACTGTTATTATAAGTGAGGATTCAGGTTAAAGAATCTGGATGGTAGAATTCATATATATATCTGATAAGAACTAGGGAAAAAACAAGAAGCCAAGTACTTTTTAATCACAAGTTTTCAAGAAGATGTAGATATATATATGCATGAGTTTTTCATTATATATATCATGTGAATAACAAAAATTCAACCAAGGGCAAAAGAGAAAACCCAAAATTCAACAAATGGACATGTTTTATTTTGGAAAAAAGTACACACTAAACAGAATATATATACGTATTGTATATTGATTTATTGTGTTGGTATTTGGTGGAGAAAGTGGTGTGATGGCATTAATTAAGATTAAGGTTTGGGTTTATGCTTCTGAGTGTAGATATAATCGGTATGTGCAGCTAGCGTTCTCCTCATCAAACATTCCTCTGTGTCTTCTTCACAACTCTCATCATCTATCTCTGCCTTCAACTCAACATCCTTCAAACATGCAAATTCATTCCCAAAAACTAAATCAATTAAAAAGTGAACAACGAAGAATGAATTAACAATACTACATATCAAACATCTCAATTCATCATGTCATGATAAAATAAATTATTTGGGCTTTTGCATGCCCACCAACACAATAAGAACCAATTTTCTAAAATTAACCACACACAAAAAAAAAACAAAACACTTTGATATAAACTCATGTGAGAAGGAAACGTACCACATGCAAAGAAGAGACAGTGTTATGTGAAGGGTTAGGACGAGAGGCATAGATTAAATTGAAGCTCAATAGAAGAAGCAAAGTGAAGAGGGTGGCCACTTTAGACATACTGAGTTTTCTTTCTATTGTTTTTTTTTCTTTTTACTCAGATTCTTTGTGTGGAGTGGGAAGATAGTGAGCACTGGGGAGAGGCTTTTAATATTATATATAGAAAAGAAATTGAGGGTTTGGTTGGGATTCAGAGTGTAAACACACTAACAAAAAATTCTCGTGTCTCAAACTTTGTTGACTTTTCAATTGGCAACATTTGGAATTTATATCTGCCATGTACAAGCAGGAATCTGGATGTGGATCCCTGCACTACTTTTAGATTCAGGACTGTTTAGACGAGTGAGTGAAATTTGAGAAATATTTATCTTTTTTTTTATAATTATTTTTTTTACAGTACAGTTATATTGTCTAAAATACTAACCTAAAAAATCGAAAACCGACATTTTTAATCAGTCTTGTATTTTCTTAAATCACGTGGTTCGATGCAAACTTGAAACTGGCCCACTTTGAATTTATATATTGTTTTTACTTTAAGTTTAATGAATATTTTACTTAAACTTTATTAACTATTTTATTTACTTTATGTATTTATGTATGTTGTAGTTATTATTTATGTTTTTTCCATGTTATAATGATTCATTTATGAAATTTACATAACAAAAGTTAATATTACCGATGAAATATTTTGATAAATATTTTGATTTTTTAATACTTAAAAACAGATTTTTAAAATAATAAAAGTCAAATCAAATTAAATTATAAAAGATTAATTTAAATTTTATAATATGTTGAGTGACTTAATTTATTTATTTTTTAATTCAAGCTACTATTCATCATATGGATCCTCTCTTTTTTTAAAAAAAATATCAATGGTTAAAAATATTTTTATATTAGAATATAAAATATTTATATAAATTTAAACATAACATAAATATAATTACTTCACATTTGATTGAGAGAAAGATCACAAGACAAGAAAAAATTAGATAATATGAACAAAATAAAAGCTCTGTATATTTTTTTGTTATTTAATAAATTATTTCTAGTGATTTTTTTTAAATTAGTTATTTTATACTTTTAAAACTGTTTTTTATTTTAAAACAATCGATTTAATAAGTATGAACTTTTAAAATTGGGTGATAATCGAATCATATATTTAAAATTAATTTTGAAAGTAATTATACAACTTTAAAATTAGTTCTTTCTCCTCTCAAGTTGTGTTCTTCCTCGGGTAGCAACAAGAAAACAAACCAGCCTAGCCCATGCCACCATATATTATTCATGCATTTTTAATCAAAGGGTATATAAAACAAATACAAGAAACATATTATTCAATTAATGATGAGGGCAGGGGCTATGACATAGTGGGAAACATAAACAAAACAATGTTGGACAAAATAGGTGGCACCACAACACCAAGTGACGGTGGAACCAGGTGCAGAAATGGAGACAAGCTAGAGAACGACGGATCAACGTAAGAGAGACGAGAGAGAAGCTGAGAGAGAATGAAAGCACTTACCATCATATCAATGACGGTGACAGCTCAAACTAGGGCAACAGAGGTGAGAGGGAAAGCATGTAAGAGAGAAGATCATGAGGGCAAGCAAGAGCTGGAGAACTTATAAATCTTATAAACTCCAATCTTAAATTCGTATGACTTTATTTAATATAAAAAATTAAAAAAAGATCAATTTTTTCTTTTAGCAACAAAGGAGATGAGATTACTCAAGATTGTACACCATTGTTCAAAAATGAGTTTCCTTCTAAATTATATAAGTAGAATTGACTAATCTTATAAACTAGATATAATTATTATGAGTTATCACTCAAGATTCAAAACTATGGTTGGGAGAGAATAAGAGAGAAGATCAAGTACAAAGAATAAAAATATGATGTAAGAACAAAATATAACAGACTTTTTTAAAAATCAACTGTATCATAACAGATTTAGAAAGGTGAACTCACATTCACTTTTAAAATCAAGTTTCCAACACTCAATTTTAAAAGTATATTCTAAATCGATTATCATCAACTAACTTTGAAAGTCTTTGCTTTACTTTCAATTTTGCCCCGGTGTGGGATATAAAATCAATTACAAGGTAACTAATTTTACATCCTTGATATAAAATCTAATTTTTTCACTAGTGGTATGTAAGATATTTTTTTTTTAAATACAAAATATTGAGAGAAACACCCACTATCATTGTTGTTGTTACAGCACCCTCACCCTACATCAACTACTATTATTGTTGCCTACAACCACTATCGTCTACAACCATTGGCATCGCTTACCACCATGGTCACCACTTACCATCACCTACCCCTACTACTATTGTGTCACATTATCATCATTATCATTATTTATATCGTTATTAGTAGTTGTTTTAACTGTGATTATTGTTATTATTGTTACCATTATTACTACTATTATAATCACCATATTAAAATAAAATTAATAAAAAAAATTAAGATCATTGAATTTTTTTTAAAAGTATAATAATAAATTTAACATTATCTTTTTTTGTGTTGACTATTATTTACTAAATGTTTGTCCTATTTTTTCTTTGTATTATTCCTTAATGTATATCAAGTATGATGGAGCCAAGTAGGTGAGATGGAGTATTGTATCTTCCTTGCTTGAAATCACAAATGATCTTGTCCTTGAGACCTTGAATCCGAAGAAAGAAAGTGATAAGAGGAAGACTAGATTTGGTGATCCAAATCTTGGAGGGAAACACTTAAGCTAGGAGTGCAAAAGATTGCTCACGGATGGCTTTAGGAAGTGAAGAATTCCTAAAGCTAAGCTAAGCAACTTCGGTGACTTTTGGAGAGAAAATAAGTTGAATGAATTTTCAAATTTCTCAATGATCGATCAAAAGTGAATACATGTATGAAGGGAAGGGACTTATATAGGCACGGAAATGAAGCAAGTTGGTGCCAAGGTTTAAGCACCACATTTGCCACCTAGATTTGAATTCAAATTCAAATTTTCAGCCCACATGTGCTTGGTCGTGAATCTTGGTGCTTCCATGCATCTAAATTTAATTTGGCAAGCATTTAGGGTTGATTTGAGTGTGCACATGTTTAGCCACTAATGGTGAAAAACATGTGACTCAAATGCAACTTAAATGACTTTCAAATTAAACATAATTTTGCCTAATTAGCCCATTTAAGTAATCCTTCCATATTCCTATTCTAATGGCCTAAATACAATGGCCAATCAAATACAATCAATAAGAAATGATACAAGGAATAAAATGAGTCACATATTGGGTACTAAAAGCCCAAAGGCCCATGAAACCCAAAATCTAGGTCCATTAAGCCTAATGCCCAAAATTCCTAAACTAGAGGTCCAAAATACAAGACCACAATTATGAAATCCTACACTACTCAAGAACACTGTAAAGGTGGTGGTCAATGCAAAGCTCATGTGAAAAATACCCTGGACCCACCAAGTTCATTGGGCCCACCAAACTCTAAAATAGTCAAATCTTTCGATAGTCTCCTGACCATGACTCTTGTGGTTGGACCCTTGGCCCATGCTCTTCCATTAAAGTATATACAACTACAGTGGAAATATCACTACACCTATAACAAATGACTCAACAAAAATAAAAATAAACAATACAATAACGGCGTATTTTCTTTTATTTGGTTTGATAAAAGAGGGAAGAAAGTTAATTTCTAAAAAATATTAAATTGTTATAGTATTATATTTATGTATTCAATTCAAATTTTAATTTTTTATTTTCCATCCACCCAACCAAATTGAAATTTAACGAGTTCGATGATACTTTACAGTTGATTAATATAATTCACAATAATTACAACTCTTATCCAACCAGCCACCAACACGTAATTACATAGCAGCAGTTTATGCTAGAAGAGGTTTATAGATGTAAATGCAGCAATGCTCAAAAAAATTGAAATAATTCATTTTAAAATGTTTTAATATTCTTGTACCATCAATAATTTATATTTTAGATTTATAATAAGTAATTTTTATTATAAATATAAGATTATTTTTAATTATTAATTATTTATTTTAAAAATATTTAAATTTAATTTAAAAATAAAAAATGGTAATTTGTGATTGGTTTCTATGTCTTATCTACCTGTAATGAGTATTCACCTAGTTCTAGGTCGCGATCAAATATGTGACCTCCAAGCAATCTGTATCACTATATATATATATATAACTACTATAAAGCAGATATATTTTAGTAATCATCTATTTGATATCTACTTTTTAATAGACCATTATATATCTTAAAATGTAAAAAAAAAAAATATTCTTATATTTTTTTTAAATAATTATTTACAACTTTTAATACTTGTCTAGGTGTAATTATTAGAGACACGAAGTGTCTCGACCTCTCTAGTATATATAAAAATGTTGATTGATGATTTATTTTAAAATCAAAATAATTATAATTATAATAAATAAAAAATCAAATGAGATACTAAGTTAAGTTAAAAGAAAATGCAAAATCTCTCAAAAAACACTCAGACATAAGATAGTCGTGCGTATTTTAGTGTTTCACGTATTCCCCCAATTAAATGTAATCCATTGTGATGAGTAATTTTGAAGATGTGAATGCATGCTCATTCATTTAATGTCTCATTAGTCATTGAATGCTTAGTTGTTTCATTTAACTTCCCTGCCTTCGACGTTTTATTGCTTCCAAGTTTGACTTCTTCATTAATAACACTCAATAATAGGATCCAAAAGTGTAGAGAAGCATATGTTAATTTGTGAATTACGCAAAACTGAACAAAGACCCAAAGCCAAGACCCAAAAAACTAACCAAAGCATATGTATATTAATGAAAAAAGTACACACATATAGATATTATTTATTAAACTATATGGTAGTATTGTTCTTTGCTCCCTGTATGCCAATATTAATTATTGTGACCCTCTTTTTCCTTCTGAGTGTAGATATAATCGAGATGTGCATTTAGAGTCTTCCTCCTCAAACATTCTTCTGTGCCTTCTTCACAGTTTTCATTATCTATCTCTCCCTTTGTAACATCCTTCAAATGAAAATAATGGTGATTCTCAAAACCCACAACAATTTAAAAATGAACATTTGTGATGATAACATAAAATATTTGGAATTTGTACTGCCTTACTCCATCAAAATAAAAATCAATTTTCTAAAACCCCACACACAAAAAAGTTTCATATGGATTTATTAATTAATATTTTAATAAGGGTGGACGAA